GTGCGGCTCTGGCCGACGTGAGGATATTTATCTACTTCCTCCTGTGTTGATGTTTGTCTCTTTCAAGGTTTTAATATTAGTTTATCTACGTTTTTTTGTATAACAGGTCACGTGGCGTTGTATATCAGGTCACGTGGTATTGGTCGTAGAAGATGTTGTATTAATTTTGGTTGGGAATTTTTAGCGTTCGTAAGTTCGTTTATTACGACTTTTCTCTGATACTTTCTCCTTTACCGTGTGTGCAGGCAGGAAGACGCAGGGCACATTATCAGCTACAGTTAGTCATCATCTTTGACCCTCACTCTCCTTCTCTTTCACGGTAGGTAACGTTCCTCAGTAAAATATAAAAACATGTCCAATAAGTTAAAACACCAAAGATAGAATATAAATTAAATTAAAGGTAAATAATCTTTTAAATTCGAAAGCTGTTACCCGGAGAATCTCGTTTATGATGTGGATAATACAGACGAAAATGGTGTTAGTATAACTCTTCACCCCAGCCTCACTGAGTCCTCATAAACACAGTCATTTAAGGCAGTAGGTACCAGCCCCCACGTGGTAAGAATGAGCGTCTTAGCCATAGTACAAGTGACGACAAATTGTGACCTTCCGGTATGGTGGTGCGTCGCTCTCCCTCAAGGCGCTCAGCTGTCTCCCTCGATCATCTAAATTGCGTGAACTCTTCGGCGAGGAGAGTTCAAGAGGTCTCCAATAGGGGGGAGGACCGGGGACCTTTGATCACTGTAACACTCAGCGGTGATCATTAGAGAGACAACTGTAAACAACTAACACGAGCGGGTTGAGAAGTGGGCGGGGTATAATTGTAGGTTATAAAAACGAAACCCCCTTTTTTTTAAGTCTTTTGTTGTTGTTCTGTCACGTGGATGTTGTTATTAAGGGGTTTGAGCTGTTTTATGTGAGGCTGACGTAGACTGCAAGTGTAATTTTCCAGGATGGTTGAGGAAAAAACCTTCTAAAATTCTTTGTTTTATGGTAAGATAATGGATAGGATTCAAGTGTTTTATACAGTAGAGCAGCCAAAGCCAAAACTCGGAACATTTCTGCAGTATATAGTTTGTGTCAAATATACCGAGTTGTTGTTTTTAGAGCGTTAGTTCGGTAGTGCTTGAAGGTCAAATCTATTTTTTGTGGAGACGACAACGAGGAGATGCTTTGCTAAGATCATCTCTCATGGCAGCCGTGCACGTCCAGGGTTCACGAAAGTCATGCGGCCAGACGACTTACAACCACGCGCGTGTACCTCTCAATGTACATTACTCGCAATAGCCATACACTCTGGATTCAAGAAAGCAAAGAATTCACAAGATCACGACAGCTATGCGCACACGTCACACTAGAGTCATTTAACAACCTCTAGTTTCAATCGCCACAACTGTAACTTAGGTAATGTTCCACGAGAGGGAGAGTGGGTGTGTGTGTCGAGGGTTACAGGTGCAAGACCTACATAACCAAAGCTAACCATTACTTAGACTGCCAGGGACATAAGGACTTTAAATGAACGGGTAGGATTTCGTCCACTGTTGTCCTGGTGGTGGAATACTGTATAGACTCCTTTGACCCAGTGGAAATTTATCTGATAAGGTTTTGCCGAATTGGAAACTGTTTTGTCGGATTTTGTTTGGCGGGAAATTGTCCGAGGGCTTTTTGTGTCCAGTGGGAAAATGTCTTACGGTGGGATTTTGTCTGGCGAGAAGTTGTCCGATGTTTTTTGTCCAGTGGGAAGGCGTAATTTGATGGGATATTGTGTGGGCACCGTCACCAGGCTGTCGCTGGAGGGGGTGACGTAGAGGAGTTCCCCAGGGCCAGTATCCCGCGGCGTCAACAAACAGAGCTGGTAATAAGGAGAGGATGGTGGGTTGTTGAGCAAGACTGTGATTGTTATTTGTGTAGAAACAGGAAACTCGTCCGGAATTCATATCATCATGTGTGATTTAGTGATTTAAGGAATTGGCGGGAACGATGCAGTTATGCGATTGTGTGTGAATTTATAATGAAGGTAAGTGTGTTGGTGATGTATGTTGGTGACGACACAGAAGTCGAGTGCAGAACTGACTGGGTCTCACACACACCAGTCAGGTCAGGAAATGCGGACACTGGGTTTACTAATCACAGCCATTAAAAACAATACATAGGTCATATGGGAACAAAAAGGAAAGTAGTTAAGTATCATCATTGTTATTTATAGGTAAAATATTCTTGACGCAAACTCTTTTTACCCCCAAGTAGTCAATATCCCGAGGCCCACATACACCAGTTTACGAAAGTGCGAGTTTTAACCTTTATTTTGATCAGTATTTCTATGTCGTAACTTAAGCCACATCATCATATTTCATATTTGTGGAAAAATTTACGCGTGCCGAGCCCAGTGACGAGCGGGTGGCCACTGACAAGAGGAGGGGAGACAAAACAGTGGTGGTTATGGAGCCGGAACATCCACAGACAGGTCCAGTGGTCAGTTTCACTCCCAGGTTTCCGATAATTTCACTTTTCATTTCTAAACTTGTTGACAGATCGAGTGTACTTAGGGTAAAGGTTTAGCAGACGGGCGCCACTTTTTGATAGGATCTTTACGGGTGTGTTAATTTCACTTAATCAAATGGAAACACGTAGACTTAGAAAGGAACAAATTGAGTTAATATTTAGGCAAACAATGTAAACAACATAGACCGAGCCAAGGAAGCTATACCATCTTGTAAACAAATGTGAAGGGAGGAAACTAATTTATTGATCTTGGTTTTCTATAGAGGTTTTTCTAGGTCGTGATTGGTGTTTAGAGAGAGAGAGAGATAACCCATAGAAATAATGTAAGAGTCACCTGGATATACTTAACCCAAATAGTGGAGTTTGTTAGCGGTGTGTTGGTGTGTGGCGAACCGTAGTCGTTGTGGTGTTTGTGTTGTAGTGTGTGTTGTAGTGTGTGTGTGTGTGTTGTTGTTGTTGTTGTTATGGGATAATGGATGTGTGTTGCGTTTTTGTTCTGTTATGTTGTTCAGTGTTTTGTTGTAGTGTGGTGTGCGGGTGTGCGGTGTGCGGGTGTGTGGTGTGCGGGTGTGCGGGTGTGTGGTGTGCGGGTGTGTGGTGTGCGGGTGTGTGGTGTGTCCATACCATTCATGAGTATTTCCCTTATACCTATGTTGTCTTCGTCTATTTTCTATCTGGTATTCATTATCTCTCTGTAGTTATCTCTATATTTACTTATGTCCACATCAGCGAGGGTAGACATAAACCTCCCTAACCCACCACCCCCACCCCACCCCACCCCCCCACCACACCCACCACACACCACACCGCCAAAAAGTACAGTTTATTTAATCGTATTTTTTGTTTTGTTTTTCAGGAATAAATAATTACCCGTAAGAAGACCCAACCATCGCCCTACTTCCCTACCACACCAAAGGACCCCCCACCACATCAAAGGGACCCCCCACCATTGAAGGGACTCTCCACAACACTATAAGACTCCCCTCACCAAGGTCCACCACGATCCTACTCGACCCCAAGACCTCCTTTTCAATCCTTCAAGAGATCGTATAGGACTCCTCTGCTCTGTCATCATCCCAAGGCTTCCACGACATCCAGACGCCCCATAGTCCCATCCCAGAGCCCAGGACGTCTTAAAGAGCATCCGGGAGGAGGAGGAGGAGGAGGAGGAGGAGGAGGGGCAGGGCAAGAATCATGGTGGCGTTGAGGGGATACAGGTCTTCAGCCACTACAGGAGGGAACTAGACCACACCGCCACCAGCTGAGGGTAAGGGAGGTTAATTAAGTGGCTTAGGTTAGGCTAGTTTAGGTTAGGTTAGGTTAGGTTAGGTTGAGATTTAAGCTATAGTTTGACTAAATCATTGTGACTTACGGCTGTCATTTTCCTGTAATCTGTGAAGTGTATCGAATTGTTTTAACGTAGCCTTTATGAGTAACTGTAGCCTTTATGAGTAACTGTAGCCTTTATGAGTAACTGTAGCCCTTATGAGTAACTGTAGCCTTTATGAGTAACTGTAGCCTTTACGAGTAACTGTAGCCTTTATGAGTAACTGTAGCCCTTATGAGTAACTGTAGCCCTTATGAGTAACTGTAGCCCTTATGAGTAACTGTAGCCTTTATGAGTAACTGTAGCCCTTATGAGTAACTGTAGCCTTTATGAGTAACTGTAGCCTTTATGAGTAACTGTAGCCTTTATGAGTAACTGTAGCCTTTACGAGTAACTGTAGCCTTTACGAGTAACAAGGACTGATTTCTTTGGGCGTCACCAGCAACTAGAGTGGTCGTCGTCCTCGCCTTCGCCTTCGTCAGGATGCGATTGTTCAGGCGGCGCAGCAGTGACCCTGCCCCACGCCTCGTCTCCCTCTCCCCCCTCAGGACTGACCCCGTGTACGGCGACACCACCTCCTATAGCGACGCTCCTCCGGTGTGTGCCGCGCGCCCCCCAGCACCCACACCCCTGTCCCAGGTAGGCTAAGGGAGAGCTTCTGTCGTAATGTTCTTAGTATGGTCTTTTGTTTAGTCTATCTCTCTATCTCTCGGTGTGCTTTCTCTCTCTTTTATCTCTATCTCTCTTTTATCTCTATCTCTCTTTTTCTCTATTTATTTACTCTCACAACCTTCAGTTAATGTCTGTGTCTCGCTGACGATGAGACGAGTTTACAGGTGTAGTGTTACGGGAACTTTGTCATTAACTAGACTTAATGTTGAACAATAAACTGATGGTTGAGGTGTGGACGTGTGGCAGGACGATGGCGAGGAGGAAGACGTGTACTCCACGGTGGACGGAGACGATGAAGAAGAGGACGTGGAGGAGGCGATCTACTCCACCCTGGACGAGGTGCGGGGAGGCCCTCAGGTGATCTACTCCAGCGGCAGCATCAGCAGCTCGGCCGGCGTCGTCACCAGCTACTACACCGCTGTGCCTGCCCTGGTGGTGGAGGAGGTGGTGGCTGGTCGAGCACAGGCCCCCGACACGCCCTCTACCGCTGCCAAGAAGGGTGAGTACAGTCCTCTGCACTTTTGTTGTTCCTTATGCCCAGGACCCAGGTATTCCTAGTGTGGCTGTAGTTTTATTTATCAAAGTGTATTGTTATATAAGAGAGAGCATCAAGTTAAGGTCATGTTTTAACGTAAAATCGAGGTTATTTTAGCCAGGAAGATGTGTATGTACGAACATGTTGAGTATCGGACCCCAGGTGATGTATATACTGTATGTTGGACACTCCATTACCTACTGTCTTCATTGTCCAGGCGGTGTTGGTGAGGAGGTAAGTTATTGATCTCTTGTTTATTTTATTTTTATTGATGTTTGTTTCACTGTCCACCTCACCATAGTTACTCCTTATTTTTTTGACGTATTTGGGTTAACTCAAGACAGTATGAGATCCCTTGCACCAGTACAACTCACTTATCCTCGAACGTAAATGGAATCAAAACCTTCTTCCGCCAATGATGTATAATTATTATGGCGTTTATTGTTCGATGACCTTTATTTAGGTAATTGAGGCTCTTTAAATCCTGTCGTCTAACTTTCGAAAAGAGAAATTCCGACCTTCCCGTGGCCGCCATCATTACCACATGACCCAATTACCAGATCGTCACAACCAAGTTCAAGTTTTATGAGCTGTTAGGGACTTGTGTCTGAGGTGATTAGTCTCTCCCTAGGTTAATTACCGCCCCCTACCTGCTGCTCTTCCTCCTGCTGCGCCAACGTCGGTATAGTAATGGGTATGTTTGTCTCTCCCTGGGGTGAGTAACCACGAGTACTTGTCCCCTGTCTGCCTCCGTCTTCCTTCCTTCCTTCGTCAAGTTGCTGCATTTTCGTCATAATAGTAATGAGGTATCGTCAATTTTCCCTGGGCTTGTTAACCTGTCTGTGTTTCTCCCGCTATCCCTCCTCCTCCTCCTACGCCTACGCCTACGTCGGGTACACGAATTAGTATTTACTGTCCATGGGGTCTGATCATCCACCAGTTCCTGCTTCACTTCCTCCACCTGCTGCTCCTAAGGCAGTGTCTTAATTAGTGTGGGTAACATGGTGTACCTGTCCCTTCTCCACCTCCCTCCTGCTGCGCCAACATTAGGGAGTCCACTACTACGGGTTCTACCTGTGCTAATTATCAATAGTACCCCCAACTCTACGTGTCGTCTTCGTCAGCGAGTAACGTGGTAATGAGGTGTTTCTCCCTAGCTTGATTACTACCAGTACCTCCTCCTCCTGCTGCTGTGCCTACACCAGTGAGTCAATTAGTAAGGGCCTCATGATCTTTGTGCGTGTGTGGGGGCTGATACGACATCCTTTCCAGCATAATAAGATGTATGAGCAGTGAATCCCTCAGTGTGTTGTTGTTGTTGTTAATATTAAGTGACGTATTAAGTATTTTATTTATCTTCTGAGAGTTATTAAAGTATATTATCATGCGTCTCTTAAAGCAGAGAATGAATTATATATTATTGTTATTGTTGTTGACACGGGAATAACGAAGCCTTCCTCCTGAACAATGACAGGGAAGGAAGGAAGGTACAGTATATAAGGGACGGGGGAAGAAGGCGCCAACAGCATCATTATAATCGACTTCCTGCCCGTAATAGGCCTCTTGGATCCTTTTAATTTAGCCATCATGTTTATAGCATCCTGGAACACAATGGGAAAGGCGGGGAAGTGAGGCAGCTTGTGTGGAGAGTTACAGCATCGTCTGGAGGGAGTTGGGTCGCACTTTACGGCCGAGAAGAGGATCACAAGCACTGTCGATAGGGTGTTGGAACTCCTTAGAAGACCCGGAGAAAAACCCACCTATGTACTTATAACTGTTCCGTATTGTTTAGGGGTTTAATTGGGTTTGTTTTGGGAATGGTGATTGTTTTTTTTTGTTTGTTTTTTTTTTTTCATTGGCATCTTGTAGTTAATTTTCAGAATATAGAAATCACAATACCTGAAGCGTTGTAACAATCAGACGTCAGGTGATATGCTAATTGCCCGGGTAATAAACTAACTCACAGCGTATAGTTAATCACCTGTAATGGCAGTATGCATGAGGGAGGTAATCATTGGTCAGGAGCAGGGGACGTAAATCACAAAGTTAACGAAGATGAGGAATAATTGTTATTGTTGTCTTAATGACGAGGGGTGTGACGGAGAGAGAAATGGATTTGGACTCTGGTCAACTTCGAACCCCACGTACCCTGTTTTTGTCTCTTGAACCAACGAACCAGCAAACCAACACGGTAGACAAAGGATATTCAGTCTTAATGCTCAGTGTGATAAGATTCGAACCCATGTATTTAGTGTTTGGTCTCACGAATCATTGGGGTAGAGAGAGAGAGAGCGAGAGAGAGAGAGAGAGAGCTTTGTCATCTTTCTGATCAACTTAAGATAGGATTCGAACCCATGTATACCGTGTGTGTGTGTGTGTGTGTGTGTGTGTAAACATTAGTGGAGTCTCAGACGTGGGGCCATTTGCGGCTGTGTATAAATAAGCAAGTTATATGATCACGATTTCCCGCCACCACATCCCTCTACCCCCCATGAGGAGCTTTCCCTTCCTCCTCCTCCTCCCTTCCTCCTCCTCCTCCCTTCTTCCTCCTCCTCCCTTCTTCCTCCTCCTCCCCTTCCTCCTCCTCCTCCTTCCTCCTCCTCCCTTCCTCCTCCTCTAATTCATCTTCCTCATCCTTAACTTCCTCCATAAACTCTCCTCATTTCCTGCATCTCTCTCTCTCTCTCTCTCTCTCTCCCTCTCTCTCGTGTTTACTCCTAGTATTTCTTTCATTTTCCTAAGTCTGGATTTATTGTTATATTTCTAGTTTATTCCTTCTTCCGTCGTTTGCTTCTTTCGTTCTCTATTTCCTGCTCTTTATGTCTTCTTTGTTGTGTCTTATCTTCCTTTGTCTTTTTTATTCTCCCTCTCCTTTACCCTCACCTTTCTCTTATCTCTCCCCCTCCTTCCTTCCGTTTTTTTCTCTCTCTCTCTCTCTCTCTCATTCTTGACCTTCCTTTCCCTCTCCTCTCTCCCCCCTTTCCTTTTCCTCTCCTCTCCCCCTTCCCTTTTCCTCTTCTCCCCCTCTTCTGTTTCTCTCTCCTCCTTCCATTTCCTCCTTCCTTCCCTCTTCCTTCTTCCTCCCCTCTTCCTTCTTCCTCCCCTCTTCCTTCTTCCTCCCTCCGGCACCATCAGGAGAGGGAGTCCATTTCCTGAGGGTGTCGGTGTAGGAGTGATGATGAAGCAGCCAGGGTGGTCTCCAGGGGCTCCTTCGACACCTGAATTTGTCTTGCTTGATTGTGGCTGTGAGAGAGAGAGAGAGAGAAAGAGAGTCTTTAATACACCCCCCTTACCGTGCCAGCCCTCTCTTGCTACACCCTCGATCACTCTTGTGTAACGTGTTTATAGTCGTATGATGAGCTGGTGTTCAGAGGTCATGACTTGAAACTGTTGTTGGTGTGTTGATGACGTGTGGATGTCACTTTGTTTATTTAGCTAAAATATCTGCCTTTACTGACGTCACTGATGATTGTTTTTGTTTTTTTTTGACGTCACTGTTGATTGTCTTTTGTTTTTGTTTTTACGTCACTGTTGATTGTCTTTTGTTTTTTTTTGTTTAGTGCGTGAGGGAGAGTTTATGGCATTTATTGCTTCTACTTGTGTGGTATTGTCATTCGTCTCTCAAAAAACGATGACAAATATGACAGGTGAGTTAATGAGTTTTGGCAGACACAGGTACAGGTACAAATTCACGTATTAGTGCATGTACAAAGATTCCATTATAACACTGAGTGAACATCATGTACAGAACACCTTGAGTTGTCTCCCTGTTAGGTTAGATTGGGTTAGGTTAGGTTAGGTTAGGTACAAGCGAAGATCACTCTCCCAGGCGCGCACACTCGTTACAGCTCCTACTTGACTGCGAAAGGCAATTGATAAACATCTTAAGTGTAAGTTATTAAGTGGTTTGAAAGAGCTGGAGATAAGTCCCCCACATGAGTCTGTCTGTCTGCCTGTCTGTGTGTGTGTGTGTGGGTGTTTCACTGTTGCGTAACCCGGAATTAATGGCTGCTTGAAAGTGGAAATAATTGTGATTAATGTCGGTAATTATTCCTTTACAACTGCATTTTTTGTAATTAAGTAACGTAAATAAGTTGGATTACAGGTGAGGTGTTTTTGTTTACAGGTGAGGGATTTTTGTTTACAGGTGAGGGATTTTTGTTTACAGGTGAGGGATTTTTGTTTACAGGTGAGGGATTTTTGTTTACAGGTGAAGTGTTTTTGTTTACATTGATTAGGTTACGATAAGTCCTGGGGGGAAGAAAGGGTTATGATTGTCTCACACTCTTGGTTGGGATTTAATTCAATTATTTCTTTTGTCAGAGAATTTGTTAGTAAGATTAGTAGATTAAATGGAGGTTGTAAGGAGTGTCAAGGTAAACTGTTGAGAGATGAGGGGGACAGGTGAGGGGGACAGGTGAGGTAGACGGAAGAGCTATAGAAAATCGAGGGGGACAAGTAAGTGAAGTTGACACGTGAGGTAGGCTGAAGAGGTAGAGAAGTGAGGTAGACAGAAATGGTAGAACATTGAGGGAGACAGGAGAAGTAGAGAGGCTGAGGGAGAGAGGTGAGGGAGAGAGGTGAGGCAATACCAGGTAGGAGGGGGTCGGGGGAGGTACACAGTAGATGCTATCAATTGTCTGCCCCAGCCAGTGCCCTTTTCTCCCCTCCCCCCGACCCCTACCCTACCCTGCCCTACCTTCCCTTCCCTACCCTACCCTACCCTACCCCTACCCTACCCTACCTCTACCCCTACCCTACCCTACCCTACCCTACCCTTTCCTTCCCTTCCATCCAAAAATGTCGGTAACTGAGCTATTTGAACGCAACACAACACACGACACGACTTCAAGAATGTGGACTTGTAATCAATAAACATTCTAAACATTATCTTATGTACGATTAGATTCCTCTTCCCGTTAGAGTGATGGTGGCCGGACAGGTGCTGATCCCCTTATTAATAG